ATTATTGGTAAAGCAAAATAGCAACATCTCTCTCTACTCAAGTCCCATTTAAATATTAACAAATCAGCATCATTTTGCTGAGAAGATAACTTGCCAATGGTTCCAGGTTGCCTGATGACTTTGAGGAGCTCAGCTGACTCAAGAAATTTTCTAATTTTCTTTGCAAATGGAGTAGCTATTTTTTTATTATTAGTGAAAACCTTGATTTTGCAGAGCAGTTTTGAAGCAACAAGGGAATTCCATGGAAAATTCAGTACATCCAAAATAGTAAAATATTTGGCATAAATATAGAATATGTTATCTTCTTGTATATCTTTGGAAGGTGGTATACTATATGAGATAACTTTGTACTAGCAAATATCAAACAACGTATTTAATTCAAAACTTGTAAAATAAAATAAGAGACAGTATTAAAATGTAATTGTTATGTTAAAAGAATACTGTATCCCCAAAATAAGCAAATAATGTGGTATCTTCACACACCAGAAGTTATGAAATAGATGAACTGAATTTGTTAGTGGTGGCTCATCAGCTGAAAAGTCTGAACTTTTTGCCACGGCAGTATTTCTTCCATTTGGGATCTTTCTCATATATACATATATACTAGCAGCATATAGTCAAATACAGTTGTGATGAGTATAACACCATCACAAAAGGTTAAATTTAACACGCTATTAGAGAAATGAAAGAATTCAACTTTAGATATGGCTTGTTTGGATGTAGGAGATGTATTTTGGATGACTGGGAATGGAGTCTATGTCCCAGAGAGACATTCTTCAACAGAAAGATGTTCTGGTAAAGCATTTAATAAAAAGCATCGATGTACATTTGATTAAAACCTTTCCTGGGATCTCTAGAGTGATTTATAAGATTAGACCAATATAATAAAATATACTTACAGTCTTCTGGATAAACGCATTTAAGTGTGACCTCATCAAGGATCATGTTTTTGGGACAGTATGGCAAGCATCCTTCAACCCTTTAAAATATTGGATAGTTAATTCTAAAGCCACAGTAGAAATATAAATTAATTTTAAATTATTTCACTTTGGCAAAATGACACATTTGAATGTCTTCCCCATCAGAGTTCTGAGAACCCTCCAGTGTAATGGTGAACACAGCATTTTGAGGCATTTTAAAGTCAATAAGCACAATTCTGTTTCTAAATTGTTAATAACCAATTCTTTGCATAGGCTGATGAACATGATAGCTTTGGACCATTCTGCTTCCACAACCAGGTGGAAGTTCAGATCCCTAAGCAGAAAGGTTTCCCATAGGACAAAGACCTTCACTGTAAGACCGCTGTTTTACCCAGATACATTCATTTGAGACATCAAAATATTTAGACTGACTCCGTAGAAAGTCTCATTCTTGTGCACTTTCAGCATAGGAGAGTGCAAACAAGTCCATATATTTCCTTACTTTTTCATTTGGGGGGGATTTCTAATAAAAAAATCATGACATCAACAACCAGTGTGCCCATATGGAAAAAGCTAAGAATACCAACAGACAAAATTAGTAATAGTAGTAATATTCCTAATCATAAACTGCATATGCCTAGGGAGGTAGTCTGAAATTCAAAATGTCATGTCTTTCCACCAGATTTTGTGCCTTGAGTTTTTAGGCATTTTTCCTTTTAGTGTGTGGTCGTTCCATAGATGCTAGGGGAGATCCGTGGAGACAGGAAATCTTGTTAACTAAGTGACAAGATAAGAGCAGCAGTATGAAATCCCTCACGTCATGCCAATTAGTATCTCTCAGTATAAAGTTCCCTCCTCTTACAGGAGAGGGCATAGTCCACCCTTAGGATTTCTACAGTTTTTGATCTCTGTCATATAAACACCAGAAAGATGTAGTCATTTACAGCATCATGGGATGCTAGTTTAAGATGTGAATATAAATCCATAGGAGGGAACAGCCTTCATTTAATTTAATAGATTTCTTCTTAACCGTTACCAGAAGCTAATCCCCTGGGCTAAGTACAAACCCTCTTATTCTTGTGTTGAAAGATCACATGTAAACAGGAATGTGTACTGTGGGAAATGAGAGGCCTGTTACAAATAGTTTCACATGACTTGTGAGAGTTGCTTACAAGGGTGATACTGAAATCTGGAAGAGTAAAAATGAATTGATATTGCAGCTGCAGTAATTTTCAGAAAGCATATGGTAAGCATATTACAAAAAACAATACGGTAGCAATACCGAGCTTAATCTGACTTACAGAGGAAGGAATCTACATGCTATTCCTTCAGGATCACTACATGTTTTAACACAAGGATTAGCACAAGATTCATATCGCCATTCACACATCCTTCTATAAGGCACAGACGCATCGAGTTCTGAGAAAGAAGGAAAAGGTATTATTTATTGATCGTGTAGTCAATAAACTATAAGTTGATAGTCTTTTCTATAATGTACATTGGGATTTTCAGAAAAAATAAAAAATGAAAACCAAGTAGAGAAATTCTCGAGAACTTTCAAATAGGTGAGATTTTGTTCATTTTCAGTTTCAAGTATTTTAAATTCAATCAAGCTAAAAGACACTGAAGCTTCCAAGATACAAATAGCTACTCACTTTTACAATATATTCTGTTTAAAAAAACTTAAAAATCAACTAAACATAGTGAAGGTACTGTTGGTTGCAGAAGCAATACAGTTACCCCATTCATTTAAAAGAATAGATATCTATAGCTTACTAACAAGACATTAGCATGCATCTTTTTGTGACACGTGCCATTCATTTTGGAAGAGCAAAACAATGAAAATGTAGTTCAAAGATTAAGTGATCATCATATCTGCAAAAATTAGAAAATAAATAGCATTTGGAGGTGGGATGGAAGACAAAGACAGAATAGTAATTAAAAATAGGATAAAAAATATTTGTTACTATTGCTGATGAAAGACAGGTACTCTGAAGGCAAGCAGAAAAAAACACATACTTATCCCTGGGGGTTATGCAACATTTACCTTCAATACTAAAGCTACTGAAACGTTTGAATTCTTCTGAGTCATCGTACTTTGCCACTTTAACACGGGATGAGGTGAGAATGATGAAAAAGCCTTTTTTACTGTGCAGTTCGAAGGCACTGAGCCCTGGACTCCAGAGGCCCTGGTGATGGAAGAAGGTGGCTCGTCTCCGAAAGGAGGCACTTGCCTGCCACTGTTCCAACCCAACGGTTTCATTGTCGTGTACGTACAGAAAGTAGTTTGGTCTTTCAGCAGACTCAAGGGAAACAAGAGAGAGCGCTTCCACAAAAGAAAAAAGAAAAAAAAAAGTACAATTTTCACAGAAACAACCTAAAAAGTAGATTACAATCTATATACTGGCTGTTAAGTGGCTCCTTTTAAACAACTGCTTTTCACAAAAAATATTTCAGTTTTATGTAACACAAAAAAAAGTTTGAAATGCAGGGTCTAAAGGAGACTTCAAATGATTGAATAATCCAGAACCACCAGAGACCTAATCAGTTAGATCAAAACTGCATTCAGCCTACTGCTACCAGCCTTTGAAATGATTCATAAGCAGTCTCAAATTGGGACTTGCCCAAATTGGGACAGTTTTTTCTCAAATTTGGACAAATGCCTGACAGTTCAGCTGTACCAAAATTTCATTAGCAAATAACATCATACAAATATTGTAGGAACATGCTTGACTTTACCTTGAGGGCAGACTTTTTTTTTTACATTCGGTCATATCCAGCAATACGGTAAGAAAATCTGTGGCTAAATAAAAGACCTGACCCTCTATTTGCTCTACCCATGCCAGAAATCAAAATTGAAGAAAATTCTCTGACACTTTAAGAACTTAGAAGAAGACTGACTTCAGATTTGGTTGTCAACTTGAATAAAATCTTGAACTGTCTTTAATCTATACAAATACTATCTCATTCCTCACAGATAGGTAAACTACCTGTGTACTGCACAGATATAATGAATATTTTTCTTACAATTTATGTTGATTGGAGATTTAAAAGACTGAATTAATTCTTCTATGTACTTTCTCATTTCAAAGTCATATCTAAAAACCTGATTTCTCCACTGCAAAATTGGCAACTGTTTGTGAATATAGTTTCAAATTTTACTGTGAAAATAGCTCCTCTCTGTGCTGATTTTTGAGAGTTTGGGATCCTTTCAACAAATTAAATGCTGTGAGAAAGCAATGACACAATCTGTATTGACTTAATTGGCACAAACCCAATATATGGGAAGAAAGGAAAATATATGCAGAAGGAAAAATATTTAAACATATTTATTTTTGGCTGTATAATTCAGATCAGTCTCTGGTAAGTGAAAAATAGAGCCTAGGAATAGCTGTTCACCTAAGAAACTTCCTTCTACATTGTATTAAGAGGTTGCTCACTAATAACACAGGAGACAGGTTGGTTGTTCCAAGTTGTGTATTTGATAGTCCATTGAAAGTCACAAAAAAGAAGAAAAGATAAAGCAGAAGTGATTCTACTGGAGACAAAAATATCCTGCATTTACCTTCAGAGTTGATACTTGCTAGATACATATGCAAAATTTTCCAGTTTGCAGTTACACAATCTAATTAATTTTTTTCACAAAGAAATTATATTCACTTGCATTTTGCAACATTTCTAAAACAAACTTTGAAAAGTCATCTTTAAAGCTGGCAGTGAGCTTTACCAATATTTAATAAATAAATAAATAAATAAATAATCAGTATCCCTCCTCAAAAGTAGAACACTCAGTTTTGATATTGGCCACTTCATCCTCACTTATCCCAATAACTAAAAATATATAGACTATTTTAGGAGATTTAGAAGATGCAGCAAAAATAATTCATACAGTTTGAAAAATATTTATTCTCATTAGCAAAATTGTTGAGAACACTTACATAAATCTTTATCTTTGAAAAGACCTGGAGTTATCATGAAACTGAAAAATACATTTCCATATGCTCCGGTTCTAGGCAGAGGAAATATCCTTCTACTGGATATGTTAGCTCCTATAATTGTGTCATTCTCTCCATAACTTGCCAAAATATAGGGTCCTTCACCAAGACCTAAGGGAAGAAAAATCAAATAGAAAAAAATAAAATTCCTCCTTGCATAACATACAAAACTTAAGTCTTAGTTGACATAATGTATTGCCTTAAATATTTCACCATACCTGGAATCAAAGAAATTTGGAACTACAGGTCAATGCCTCAAGGTATTATGCTGGAGTAGGTCTGTATCTATCTGTTCAATGTATTCCCTTGTTCTTTGCTTGCTGCCCAGAATACAACAAATAAAAAGTGAGCACAAAAAATGTGGGTAGTTATCCTCACAAAATGACCTGTACAAGAAAGCAATCTGGGATGCTTTTTTGTGGTATTTAGTCTTTCACATGTCCTTATTTCTAAACTTTGAAAGACCAACAGAGCAACTTTAATATTATTCCCCAAAAAGACACTGAAGCTACTCTAAGATCTACAAGGCAATTCCCCCCCAAAAAACAGATTTCAAATTATAAGGCTGTAATTCAACTTTTGGCAGCAATATTGCTTAAGCAGTTGTCTACTTCGTCCTCTCCCACAAACCACTTGCTTCTGCCCCCTTACTGCCCCATTTATTATGCCATCCAAAGTGCTTCAGCAATGAAGTGATCGAGCTGAAAAATAACCAGCTAATTTTTCCAGTCTAGTTCACCACATCATCATTCAAAATCTCATGCCAATATAACAGTGACAACAGCTTCAGCTGGTACCAAAATGGTGCTGGCCTAACCATGCCCCGCAGCAAACCCCTGGAGCTCTTTCTGCTGGGCTGGAAAGGCTCACAGGGATACAACCAGATACAACAGCATCCATCTTTGTCACTATATCCCACTGAAAGAACCAAGAGCAGCATACTTCTAAAACCTCACACTGTGAGTAATAAACAAAATGTGTAAGTTTTGTGAAAGCTTTTAGTCCTTACAGTGAAAAGACTGAACCACTTTCCCACACTGACAGCTCCTTTCAAATATGACTCTTTCAAGAGGGAAGGAATTCTCATAATAATGAGATTTGGCTCAGCTAGAAGTTAAACACCAATTTCTGAAGAAAACTGCATGAAAATAACCACTGTTTTTATATGGAAACTATGCTGGAGCTCATATGCACATGAAGCCCACAAGCTTGCCACAAAATGACCACTTTTAAAGAAGTGGCGAGGCAATTTATCTTAAAAAGACTCTTGATTCTAAATCATTGAATGTTTATCCCTACATATTAACAGACATTTTGCGCATGTCTTGAGCAAAAGCAGGAGTGAGCTGTAATTGATAAAGTTTCCATAAAGGTTCAACAGTTTGACATCATGCAGAACAAGAAAGAATCAGAGGAGGAGCCATCCTATGTCCCGAAAGGTGTTTTGCTGGCACTTGGTGGTGGGAACGCGTAATGCCGTCCTTGACTTTAACCCTGGTAGGCAGCCGAGCAGCACACAGCTGCTCGCTCACTCCCCATAAGGCAACTGCAGGGCAAGAACTGGAAAAACTCGTGGATTGGAAAGGAAAGGAAAGGAAAGGAAAGGAAAGGAAAGGAAAGGAAAGGAAAGGAAAGGAAAGGAAAGGAAAGGAAAGGAAAGGAAAGGAAAGGAAAGGAAAGGAAAGGAAAGGAAAGGAAAGGAAAGGAAAGGAAAGGAAAGGAAAGGAAAGGAAAGGAAAGGAAAGGAAAGGAAAGGAAAGGAAAGGAAAGGAAAGGAAAGGAAAGGAAAGGAAAGGAAAGGAAAGGAAAGGAAAGGAAAGGAAAGGAAAGGAAAGGAAAGGAAAGGA